AAGATAATTTTGGTTTAACCACCATTGTTCTTGGATATATTCGTATAATTTATCCTTCATTCAAGTTTTCTTAAAGATAAATCGGTTTCTCTGGGAATCTATATAAGGTTCTAATTGGCTTCACCTTGTTTTAATTATTATTTCCTTTTGCAAGGATTGTTGGACAAGTAGCAGTTACTGGAAAATATCAATGGATTACTGCAGATGAGCAAATTCCAAATTTCTCTTCAACACTTGAGGTGCTATATTTTCGTGTTGTGCAATAGTTTAAGTTAATGAAGTTTATCATGCTTGTTTTTCGACTATCTCGGGTTGTATTTCATTACTCATTTTCTGATCACTTTTTTAACAGTACTGCGACGGTTGGCAAACTCAATTTTCAGCTGGCATTAAGGTATGGCAGCCTTTCTTTCCCTTCGCCCACGTTTGAGTGACTAGTGTATTTCTCCGCTGGATTGTAATTTTGACTTCACAAATTTGGGAGTCGATACTGTGCTACTCAACACGTTAAATTTCTTATTTTGTAGTTTGAACCCACGTTCCTCAAGGATAGCAGTGTATTATTACCCATAATATATGATTGCAATAATATTCGTAGGTTTTCTGAATTATGATAACATTTAGTATTTCTCGTTAATATATTTATCATCTTGAATCGGCTTATAGGGTGGGTTCGGTCATGAATTTAACTGTTCATATGCTGTCCTGATGAACAATTTGAGAATAAATTCAGATTATTCGATTTTTTCTCTGCTAAATTCCGTTATATATTCTTTCGAACTCTCTACTTAACTGTCATTTATATGCTTTGTAGACTATTGTTGTTGCAGCCGTTGTCCCGCACGGTGTTTTACAGCTTGGATCTTTAGATAAAGTAAGATCATCTTCCTTCTAGTAGATTGTGGAAGTTTGTGAGTTATGATCCGAGCTGAATGTCAACATTTTGTTTGGAGTTGTAGTATACATAATTATGCTCAATCCTAGCTGTAACTTACCTTGTTTCATACGATAGGCCCCCCGACATTATAATTTATTTCAACTTATGGTAGCCTTACATTCCTTGCAATATTTGGTATTTGGTATTTGGTATCTGTTATTGTTTAGTAGCCTTCATTACAATACTCGTGATGCTTTTGGTTTTTTGATGGGTCCTTTTTTGTTATTGGAATTAGGTCACTGAGGATGTCAATCTTGTGGCTTGCATCAGAAACGTCTTTCTAACTCTTCAAGAGTCTTCAGCTGGGCATATTCAGCCAATGCGTTCTTGTGAGAGTTCGGGATACGTGGTAACTCCCTTTCTGTATCTTTTACCTTCCTCTCCTGTAACGGCCTAAACCCATTGCTAGCAGATATTATCCTCTTTAGGTTTTCCCTTTCGGGCTTCTCCTCAGGGTTTTTAAAATGCGACTGCTAAGGAGAGGTTTCCACACCCTTATAAAGAATGCTTCGTTCTCCTCCCCAACCGATGTGTGATCTCACATCTTTAACTGGTTTAGGCAATTAAATAATTTGTCTGTATTGGTTTGATGTGATAGGGTATGTGCTAGTTACGCTGATGATATCAAAATTTCTTTTCTGTAGGCAGACATTCCGTCTAGAAGCTTAGCAACAGAGGTGAGCCCGGGTGGCGTTAACAACTTAAGACACCTATGAAAATAGAGACAGTACAGTTATTTGTTGCCTAAAATTTCCTTCCTGTGATCATACTTAGGAATATTCTTTTAATAGTCTACTTTGTGCTCAGAAAAATGAAGTTGAAATGGTCAGCAAGGATGTGGGGATAGAGTTGTCGGGATCTGGGGGCATTAAATCTCTAGAAATCAAACCAGATGCTATCAATATGGACAGTTTTAAGTCGCAAGTGAGGGTGCTTGATGACAGGATATGTGGAGGGGAGCCTAGTGAGTGCAAAGATATCGCTGTCGGTTTGAAACAAAAAATCAATGTGGGATCGCAAAACTTCGAAATGGGTACGGTTAATTTATCTGGTCCAGCTGAAAAGATCATAACAGATGAAGCATACTTCCCTATGAATCCTCACGCCTCGTCTGTTTGTGGACTTAAACACGACGGGATGTGTAGTCAAACCAACCCTTCAGAAATGTACTTGCAAAATGATGTCGAAGCATCAGAAACTATTAATGTGTATCCATCAAATTCGTCGTTGAAGTTCCCTGCTGGTTATGAGCTACATGAAGTACTAGGACCTGCTTTTCTGAAAGATGCTCTTTATCTTGACTGGAAAACCAAGTATGTTTTTGGTGGTAAAGCTTTTGAGTTATCTGAGGGAACGAATGGTAGCCATTTGACGTCTGATTCACCGACAGAGCATCTTTTAGAAGCAGTAGTGGCTGATGTTTGTCATAGTGGTTCTGATGTTAAAAGTGACACATCTCTATGCAAATCTGGACAGTCTCTGTTAACGACTGAAAGGATTCCCGAGCCTTCGACAAATGTTACGTCTACTTGTTCAGAAGGTTATACAATGGGTCAAAGTCAGACATCTTTTATTGGAGAGGAGATGCAGAACTCTTTAAGCTCATCAGGAGTATGTGGGGTGATGTCCACAAAAGGGTTTTCGTCGACATATTCTGGTACTGGCAGTGAGCACCTGGAGCAGTTTTCAGAACCTGCAAAGAACAGTAAAAGAAGGGCTAGACCTGGTGAGAGTTGTAGGCCGAGGCCGAGGGATAGACAATTGATCCAGGATCGAATCAAAGAACTTCGGGAGCTAGTACCAAATGGAGCAAAAGTAACTTCTGAGAAGCCATTCTTTCATCTTTCCTTGATAGAAGTATAATGTTTCATTGCTTTTTTGCTTCATCCACTAAAGTTTTCTTGCTTGTATCACAGTGTAGTATTGATTCATTGCTGGAGCGCACAATCAAGCACATGTTGTTCTTGCAAGGCATCACCAAGCATGCTGGCAAGCTAAACAAATGCGCCAACATGAAGGTAATTGGCTTTGAAACCGAAGTGTAGCAGGAAAGTTAACTTTTTTTGAAAGCTTAAGAACTAAACCTGTAATTAACCGGACAACTATTGTTTAAAATGACCCTTAATGCCACAGGTCGCATCCCTTGTTATAGTAGGCTTAGACTTTCAACTTGTCTGCACTTGAGCAACATTTTTATATGAACTCCAAGGAAAATAGTAACAGTTTTATGTTATAATCTTGAATACTGTTTTCCTCTTCTTACATGTTATGTATTTATAGTTGCATCAAAAGAAAAATGGCATGCTAGGATCCTCAAGTACTGATCAGGGTTCAAGCTGGGCAGTTGAAGTCGGTGGTCAACTTAAAGTCTGTTCGATAATTGTGGAGAATCTCAACAAGAACGGTCAGATTCTTGTAGAGGTATGAATTATGAAAATTCATCTTTTATTTATCATGATGTTTCTAGTGTGTGTGTGTGTGTGTAAATTTATCATAGAGCCAAATATTAGTCAATTTCTCTTGGGTAGAACATTTTGTATCGGTAACACCCCAAGCACACTACTAGCAGATATTGTCCTCTTTGGGTTTTCTCTTTCGGGCTTCCCCTCAAGATTTTTAAAATGCGTCTATTAGGGAAAGGTTTCCACCCCTTATAAAGAATGCTTCGTTCCCCTCTCCAGTCGAGGTGGGATCTCACAATCCACTCCCCTTAGGGGCCCAACATCCTCGCTGACACTCGTTTCTCCCTCAAATCAATGTGGGATCTCACAATCCACCTCCATTCGTAAACCAACGTCCTCGCGCGCACACCGCCTGGTGTTCACCCCTCTTTGGTATTTAACGTCCTCGCTGGCACACCGTCCCGTGTCTGACTCTATCACCATTTGTTACAGCCCAAGCCCACCGCTAGCAGATATTATCCTCTTAAGGCTTTCCCTTTCGGACTTCTCCACAAGATTTTTAAAATGTGTTTGATAGGGAGAGGTTTTCACACCCTTATAAATAATGCTTCGTTCCCCTCTCCAACTGATGTAGGATCTTAGAGTATCCATTGTCCATATTGTTTCTTCAGTTTAACTCTTTTATTTGCTTCAATTTTCCGTCATCGGTCATTTACTTTTTCCTTAGTTTAACATAATGACAAGTGATACACCTGTATGCAGATGTTGTGTGAAGAATGCAGCCATTTTTTGGAGATAGCAGAGGCTATTAGAAGCTTGGGATTGATAATACTAAGAGGCATAACAGAAGCTCATGGCGACAAGACATGGATTTGTTTTGTGGTTGAGGTATAAACAAGTAAAATTACCAGCACGTGAGACTTATTCTTTGCCTGCAACACGTAACATGTTTCGAAACAACTAGATACATAGATTTGACTTTATATGCTTTAAATAACGGATGAAAATCTGTATATTAGCAATCGTTGTTTGATATCTAGTTTTGAACGATTGTAGGGGGAGAATAACAGGAACATACACAGGATGGATATCTTATGGTCACTTGTTCAAATACTACAGCGCAGTAATACAATGTGACAGCTTCAACGCCTCAACTTTTTGCCACTGTTTGTAGATTCCTCTGTAAAATGTCATGAGTTTCTTGTTGTGAATCCATCTGTCTCCAGCTTTATAGAGTGCTGCAGCACTTTTCTCAGAGATGCACCTTTCCCATTCAATCTTCAAAAGTTGAACAAAAGAAAAAAGAAACCTAAAGAAGGGTGCTCTAAAAGCAAACCAAGTTTTTTTTTGTCTTTTTTTTTGGGTGTGTTTTCTAGCTAGTATTGTCATTTGTTTGAAAAAAGCTTTCCACTTTATAGAGTGCAACTATTCTGTATTTGTACAACCCATTTGAATAGTATAAGTTCATTTGAACAATATTTGTCTTTATTTTTTCTCCCCTTCCCATCCCAAAAAGAAAAACTGATACTTCATTCTTAGTTTTTGTTTTGGTGTGAGATCACACATCGGTTGGAGAGCAAAACGAAGCATTCCTTATAAGGGTGTGGAAACCTCTCCCTAGTAGACGCGTTTTATAACCGTGAGGCTGATAGCGATATATAACGGACTAAAGCGGATAATATCTACTAGCATTGAGCCAGTTTGGGCTGTTACAAGTAGGAGGTTATCATATTCTAAAATATGGTAAGGCTGAGCTACCATCTAATCCCTTCAGTATATAGTAGCTCAGATACTCATTGATGTTAGTGGGTCTATATATGGGTGGGTTATCCTCTGATTGAAACTCTTTTGCAGGTCCGTAAGGTGTGAGTCTATGTTTTGCGCTTGGATAAAAGAAACATGCTGCTGATACTCTCTTTCCATTGCTCCTTGCCAACACCCTATGCTCTACACTCTTGATCTTGTCATTGGTGATTAGCTGCATGGTATCGATACAAAACAATGTCGAGTTATGCCACTAATATATGTTTGTTTGTCTGTTGGCACGTCGATAAAGGGCTAATATTTGACGTGGAGTTTATGTATATAGATAGATAGAAGGCATGCGCACCTGTAGAAGGTCGCCGATGTTGGCGAGTAGTGCTCCGGGGATAGGAGGAACATGGAGCCATTGGTTTTGATGAAGGACTTGGAGGCCACCAGTGTTGTCTTGGAGGAGAATTGTCAAAGCAGAAGGGTCTGAGTGTTTGGTGGTGCCCAATGTGAGCTCTGGTTGAGGACAGGGTGGGTAATAGTGACACACAAGAGTTTCAGATTTCATGCATTCTAATCCTGCAAGGTAATCACTGCTCAGCCCCAATGCCTCTGATAGTAACTCTGATATCTTATCTCTTAGCTCTGTCATCTGCTTTATGTATTCACTCACTGCCTCTCTGTCAAACACAAAAAGAAACTAAGATGAGCTTTTGATCGACCTGTAGACTGAGAATTTATTGAAAGACGATGGACTAGTTTGAGAAAGAAACTGTAACCATCTAAGACCACCATTAGTAAATATTGTCCACTTTGACTTGTTATGATCATTGTCAGTATCACGGTTTTAAAACGTGTTTATTAAGGAGAGGTTTCCACATCTTTATAAGGAATACAATCTACCCTCTTGGAGGCCAGCATCCTCGCTGGCACACTGCTTGATGACTGATTCTGATATCATTTGGAACAGCTCAAGCTTACCCCTAGCAAATATTGACTGCTTGATCAACCTTATGGTTTTAAAATGCATCTACCTGAGAGATTTTCACATAAGGAATACTTTGTTCCCCTATCCAACCGTTACAATTATTATGAATAATTTGAATGGTTAGAAAATGTACTAAAAATAGGAGCCTTTATTATGAGTAATTTTAAAACGTGTCTACTAGGGATATGTTTCCACACCTTTACAAGGAATACAATCCACCCTCTAGGGTCCAATGTCCTTGTTGGCACACCCCCCAGTGACTAACTTTGATACTATTTGTAACAGTTCGAGCCTACCGTTAGCAAATATTGTCAGTTTTGGCCTATTACATACGTCAGCCTCAGTTTTAAAATGCATTTATTAGGGACAGGTTTCCATACTATATAACAAATGTTTCATCCTCATCTTCAACCGTTATTACGGGTAATTAGAATCTATAGAAAATGTACGAGCCTATGTAACTTTTTTCTTTGGTTTTGGACAGCTGTTTTGATATGATAGAATCAAATCACTTGAAAGGTGTTTTGAAAATGTACAACATTAGTGAAAAAGAAGGAAGGATTTGAACCTGCATGTGGGTGGATATGCCTGAGGGGTGAGAGGGCCATGTTGATACTCAAAAGCTATGGAGTCTCTCCAACTTGCAGCCTTAGAAACAAGAAGATCACCATTACAATAAAACCTAACCTTTTGTGAAGGATCCCTTGAGTACCACTTCATCTTCTCCTCTCTTGCCTGTTCGTGAAACTCCCTTATGCCTTCCAACATTCTCTCCATCACCTCATTTGGGACTCCATGGTTCACCATTTGAAACAGCCCCCACTTCTCACATGCCTCCCCTATCTCCCTCACCACCTCTTCCCTTCCCCGTCCCTCCCTCAGATCTATCACCGGCACCTCCGCCACTGCCACCTTCCTATTCGCACTCTCAGACGGGTGGATGAAGAACTTCGGGATCGTCGTGGCACCTCTATCCATCAAACCTGTTAAACAAAATGAACAAGATCATGCACATTCAAACTCAAACAAACAAGCATTTATTCAAATTCACTCGAGACCTTTTACTCCAGACTTTGTATCGTCGAACTCCTTCACTTGTCGAGCTCTTTGCGAGTCGTCGTCACCAGAGGGATCCATGTCGGAGGAAGTCAACTATTTGAAGGAGGAGGTTGAGAGGTATGGAACTAAGATAAGAATAAGAAGAGGAAAGAATATATGTGAGGGTTTTATAAGGATTTGGTAAGGAAGACCATACCATATTGTCTTTCGTATAGACCACAAACTAAGCAATCTTTCCATTTATTATTATTTTTTTAAGTTGAATTTCAAACTAAGCAATCTTTCAATTTATTAATTCTTTATTTATTTATATAAATTTATGAAATTCATAGTTAAATTTTGATTTAAATTATTATTTATTAAGTTGACTTGAAACCTACCTAGCTCCATGGGACCCATACTATATCTATATCTTTTATATATATATATATATATATATCAATTAAGGAATATGGAGTTAATGTGGATAATTTGTTTATTTAATTTTATGATGGATGGACGGTGTATTCCATTAGCTACCCTTCTCGAGCGAAAACGAGAGAAATAGTGAGAAGATATTTCTTCGTGTTAGCTAAATAGAACTAGAGACGAAGAGTATAATCACTGTTCTTTACTTTGTCTAAATCTCTACCCCATCGAGTGAAAATAAATGCAGAATTTTGCAGGATGAAGATTGAAATGAGAAGCGGAGATAGACTTTCCTGTCCTTATTCTGGTCGACGAACGTTTTTAGTATATATATAATTTAAAATAGAAAGATTATTTTATATATTAGACATGTATTTTTTTTTTATACTATAGTATGGAAGATGAAAAATGTGCGGTTTCAATTGAAAATGGCCCATTACTAGACATTTAATTCTCCAATATAAAAAAAGAAATATTTTATATTTTATATTATATTTGAAGGGAAAAATGAAAAATAAATGTCCCATTTATTGTATGAAAGGGCAACTTTGGAATGTGTGAGAATTATTTAATGGGTTTAGTTTTAACTTTTATGAAGGTTCAACTAATCTACACATCATTCATTCATTGCATTCATTTTTTTTTCTTCTTTTAATTGCTTTAATTTAGTCAATTTTAAAAATTTGTCCCCTCAATCATATCGACTCGTGTCTTAGACGCATTTAATTTTGACGTTTTTATGAATGAGCCCCCGAGAAGGCAAATATGACTTACTTAGCTTTGAAAGAGTTGAAAAATAAATATAGGATATCGGAGAACATGAATGCATTTACCCTAGTTTCAGTTCCATGATTGTCACCGCAATGTCTGTCATTTGTACAAACGTGTCTTTTCCTTACCTAAAAATTAAGAGTAGCACTGTGTTTGAGTATTTTACACGTAATATTTAGTAAGTAACTCTATGGTTGGAATTGAGAGATATCAATATGGTGGGACCTATACTTTTATTAAAAGATCATGGCATGACGTTGGATCCGTTTTTTAGTCTGAACAAGATTAAATACTTTCCTACACGCCGTTCACGCACACGCACATGCAGCTAGTTGACTTAAGCTAACTCAATTCCTTCTGGCTTGTCAACTCCACCGGTGTAAATATCTGAGTGAGTTCCTCGTATTCTTCGCATTGCCAAATGTTAAAAGACAGACATAGGCTTTTATGTCCTTTAGGTAACTCACGACAAGCTCTTAAAGTGCTATTTGTTGTGACAGAGTGATCCAATTGCTCCCAAAGATTAGGCAATGACATGAAACAAGCTCTCAACATGCCTTTACTAGGCATTATTAGTACATCATCTTATAGGACCAAATCGAGCATCGTTTGCTCCTTCCAAAACCACAGGTCGTGCCGTGTGAGTGTATTGTCATTTTCGTGTTAGAATGTCTCACTATTAAGCATGTTCTCGACCTTTTTCTCAAACTCATGGTGGATGGTTGAGCATAATTTCTTCATTCAATAACTTTTAATATCATTCCTGGAGATACCCTTTGTTGGGATCTCAAATAAAAGTTTAGTGTGAAAGCTATTTGCATAACATGCCTCTGTATGCTTTTCCTTTCGGACTTTTTTTCAAAGTTTTTAAAAGACGTTTGCTAGGGAGAGGTTTTCACACCCTTATAAATGGTGTTTTGTTCTCCTTTCAAACTGATGTAGGATCTCACAATCCATCTCCTTCAGGGCTCAACGTTCTCGTTGACACTCATTCCTTTCTCCAATCGATGTGGGACCCACAAATCCATCATATTCAAGGTCCAGCGCCTTGCTGGCACACCGCTTCGTGTCCACCCCCTCTTCAGGACTCAACCTTCTCGTTGACATATCTCCGGGTGCCTGGCTCTAATACCATTTCTAACTAATATTGTCCTTTTTGAGCTTGTCGTTTCAAGCTTCCCCTCAAAATTTTTAAAACACAGTCTGTTAGAGAGAGGGTTACAGACCCTTAAAAAAAAATGCTTAGTTCTTCTTTCCAACCAACGTGAGATCGGGTAATAACGAACTAATTATGTTTTAGAAATGAGATATTTATAAAGTCAACCTACTTGGTCCATGTTTTCTTGACTTGTTGGATCCTTTAATTTAAGGTTAAAAATGTCAATTGAGAAATGTAATATTAAATGAGTTGAATTAAAAGCCAAGTAATTACTTAAATACATATACAAATCATTATTTTTTTTTCTTTTTTAAAATAATCTTCTCTCAGATAATAATAATAAAATAAAATGATTATTTAATGCATCAAAACCATATAATAAATTATATTATAAAGTATTATAGTAAGTGTGTAGAATTATGTCCCATTACATTAAATTGAAATGGATCGGACATCCAACGACCGGCCATGTCTCCTTCACGCCAGCCAATATTATTTCTTATGGACCGTCCCACTTAGTGTCGCCCATTTATCGAGAGTTTTAAACTAACGAGGTTCGGTAGCCATGCACATGTAATCATAAACATACAACTTGCTCGATAGCCCATGAATTTAAACAGTATAAAACATGTCATGTTCTTTTTTGTATCCGAGTGGACAATTAACTACTGAACTGTTGTGTTAATTGTCTGATGACGTATAAATGGACATCGTACCAGTCTTTACCTCAATGGATGGAAATTATTGGCACATTGTTCGCGAAGTTGAGTCACACCCGTCATAACTCCTCGTAGAATTATATGTTAATTGTTACACTCTCATGAACACACGTCTATCCACAATACACGATATATATGCATGTCAACTATCGACAATAAGTTCATCAATGGTGCTACTTATATTAAAACATCTTCGACAATGTATTTGCTCGTCTTACAACATCCTTAGCCTCAACCTATCTAATTTTCAAATGTTTGCTAGAATCCCTGCCCTTCCACGTGCCACTAGAAAACCCGCTGTCGAAGAGCTTATAGGTACGTATGAATGTATGTATTTTTTACGATATAATTATATTAATACTAAATCATCGACACTTTTCATAGTTTACGTCTTGTTTGATCTTAATTAAAACTTATGAATGTATTAGATCATAACGTCACGACCTTATTAATTACGACGATGAACGGTATGACGAGTGGATGAAGAATATCAATTCTGTAATATTAAATTGTTTTATATGTATGATTCTGTTTGTTCATCAAATATCTGAATTATTGAAGAAAGTTGATAGGGACAAAGGATTCTTGTGGTCTCTTTCGTAGATCCAAACAACATTTATGATTGGGTCGAACAATCTTTCTATCTTTCTTCCTCACACATTCAAACAAAAATGATTGACGTCCTGAAAAAAAAGAGTCCTTTTTTTGTTCTACATTTAAGGAACAAAGTGGAAATTTGAGACAAATTCCAATCCATTTTGTTTTTTTTTAACCATGGTTAGAAAATTTCTCGAAAAGTTGAGGCTATATCTAAATGAGATCGATCTCGAGCCTAAGATAACTGTTAAGAATGATAGTTTTGATATCATGTTAAGAATGATAGCTCTGATACCATATTAAGAATGATAGCTTTGATACCATGTTAAAAATGATAGCTCTGATACCATGTTAAGAATAAGAAACAGAAGTGGGATCGAAAGTGCGAGAAATGTGGACTTTTAATCCCACACTCTAGGACTTTTGATCCCATTTATGTTTCTCGCACTTTCGATCTTACTTATGTTTTTCATTCTTAACATGGTATCGAAGCTATCATTTTTAACATGGTATCAGAGCTATCATTCTTAATAATAACTAAGAAAAACTGAAATGAAACTTACTATCTATATCAACAAAGTGCACTTTTCTTTTCGATGGCTCTATCATAGAATCTTCTGATCCAACATATTTTAAATACTGAGACTAGAACGTCAATGAATTAGGATTGATTGCAATTAATATTTGAATCGAGAACTTCAAACACATAAATTAATTAACCGACTTGCCTCCATAAAATATTGCTTTTTTTTTTTCTTTTCCAAAAAAATAATATTCTTTTTAATTGGTCCATGAGAATATAAATTATATATATTTTTTAAAAAGTTGCGCCGAAAACTTTTGACAAAGAGCCGACGTAAGAGCATATTTATTATATTTTATTTTCCAAATAAATAAAGTAAAAAAAAAAAATAAGAACATAAAAACAAAAACGTAAAATTCTCGATATCGATCCTTATAATAAAATAGAAAATTTCATGGAATCGGGATTGGCGAATATAGTGACAAAAAAAGCTTTCTTGATTCCCGTTCCGTCCCATTCCATAGACAAATGCCTCCGTAAATAAGGGATATATCATATGAAATCAAAATTACTATCAGCCATGCATCGATACTACTGTCCTTTTTGAGCTTTCCTTTCCAGACTTTTCCGTTTTTCACGCTCTTATAAATAATAATTCATTTCCCTTTTCATTCAAAATCTCACATGAAATCAAGTAAAATTTTTAAATAGATACGAAAATGTGCCCAAAAAAGATAACAAAGCCTCAAAGGTTCTATCCCATATTCTGATTTGGTTGTCTAGATATTGATAGCATTACACGAGAAAGAGACTAAAGAAATACAATCCCCCACTAATATGGGTACGTTGATTACCTTCGATCAGTCATGCTTGAAATTATCATAGCCTCTCCATCGCAGACCGACCATAGAACCCTAATCGAATCTCTTTGCTTCATGTACACACCTATTGTATTCAGTGCAAATTTGACTTAGTTTCCGAGAAAAAAGGTAACCTATTTTCACGAAAAGGTATATATATATATATATATATATATATATAAAATTTGGGGCAAGTTGGGGGATTATTTAATGGCATAGGTGAGTAGTATATAAAGGAGGAGCTTCATCGCCTCTCTCTCTTTGTCAAACCTTCTTTTCAGTGCAAAATCAAATACAAATTATGGGAGAGGTCAAGTTCGTGTCCAATTGGGAGGGTGTTCAATCTGTACCACCAGATTATATCTATCCCCCGGAGAAGAGACCTGGCAACGTCGTCGTTCCGATGGCCAACGCCATTCCCGTCGTTGATCTCTCAACCCGTGATCGACCTCTTCTCGTTCGTAAAATCCTCGATGCTTCTCAAGAATTCGGATTTTTTCAGGTTTTAAATCTCTCCTTTGTGTTCTTCGATAATTCCGATTCTTTTTTTATTATGATTGATTGTTTCGTTTCTTTTTGTTGTTACGTACCAAACTATTTTGTTTTCGTCGACCCACTTATATTTATAAATTTGAAAACATTTAAAATTTTAATTACCGATATATTAATCTAAACATAATTTACTTAATTAAGACATATATAGTAACTGCTCATGCCCACCACTAGTAGATATTGTTTGCTTTTCCCTGTTACGTATCACCGTCAGCTTCACGGTATTAAAACATCTCTGCTAGAGAAAAGTTTCCACACCCTTGTAAGAAATGTTTCGTTCCAGACTCCAACTGATGTGGGATCTCACAGATATATTTTTATCGTATGATCTGATCAATTTGGTCAATTTCGTATTTCCGCCCTCCCAAAGTAAAACAAACAAATAAATAATATATATATATAGTTTCTTTTACCTTTTTAAAACCCATTACCTATTTTGACTATTTTCATCGAACATTTTAATATTTTAGGTAGACGATGGACCGTTTTCAAATTAGGTCAGAATATAACTGAAGCTTAATCGTTAATTTTTTTTTAATTTAATTTTGCATAAGATAGAAACTCTTCGTATTTCATTGTCGGTCAGTTTTAATCTAAACCCGTACTTGTCGTTTTTAATTATTAGATGAACTTTGTCACATCCAACCATTATTTTCAGTGAAAGATTGTACATGAATATAATTAATTCAATTTCAGAAAAGAAGAGAGAGGACGTGTTAACTTAAAAGCAAAATGTCAACTCTATTTAAGATTCAAAAGCTGACAATAACATTGAATAATACTATAATTCATAAATTTTCAAATGTTTCGGCCTCGAGAATTTATGACCTAATCAGTTAATTCTTGTTTAGGTGATAAACCATGGAGTGTCGAGAAGGGTATTAGAGGAAACGACGAGGATATTCAAAAAATTTCACGCGATGTCGGGAGCTGAGAAGGCGAAGGAATGCTCGAGAGATCCGTACAAAAGTTGTAGGGTTTACACAAGTAGTGAGAATTATAGGAAGGAACAAACTCACTGTTGGAGAGATGCTTTGATCTTCAACTGCCATCCTTTGGAAAAATATGTTCATTTTTGGCCTCAAAATCCCCCAAAATACAGGTAAAATTACACATATATCCTTTCCACTTTCACTAATTATCAATAATTTTTTTTATTTATAAATATAAAATTATTTTAAAATATCACATAATTATTTATAAGCTCATAATTTTAAAAAAAAATTGAAATTAATTATTGAAAAATAATTCAAGATAATTAATTGTCATTTAATAAATATTTAATTTTAGTAGTTTTCAAATATTATTTATATCAAAATAAAATTTAATATTTAGACGATTAGTCATTAGGATATTGTTGACTTATTGCAGAGAAGTGGTCGGAGCGTATTGTGTTGCGATGAGAACGTTGGTTTTAGAGATATTAGAACTCGTAAGCGAAGGATTGGGACTCGGGAGAGGATACTTAGCGAGTGAAATGAGTGAGAATCCGTTGATGTTGGTTAACCATTACCCACCGTGTCCAAACCCTAGCTTGACCTTGGGATTGAGCCAACATTGTGATCCAAGCCTTATCACCATCTTGTTTCAAGAGGTCAATGGCCTTCAAGTCCTCAAGGATGGTCAATGGATTGGGGTTCATCCTATCGATAACGCGTTTGTTGTTAATATTGGCTTCGTTCTACAGGTACGTTTAAAGTGAGTTTGACCTGTGTTTCTTGGAAGCTTTACTTATATGATGGTTGGTACGTAGGTGATTAGTAATGGGAAGCTAAAAGCAGCAGAACACCGAGCCGTGACGAACGCAAAAATATCTCGACAAAGCCTAACGTATTTAGTGTATCCAAAGGATGAAGTGACTATGGAACCAGCAAAATGTTTAATAAATGAAGCCAATCCTCCACGATATCGAGCCCTCAAGTTCAAAGACTTTCAACGAAACTACCTACCAAGGGCTAGCGATACCAAGGCGGTAATGGAGTGTATTGGCTCCAATTGCTCTTAAAATTGTTTCTTTTTCTTTTACGATGTGAAAAAAAATATCGTATAGTATCATCAAATAATATATTCCGCTAGAAAAAATGACATTTTACAAATCGAATCGACTCGAGATTTACATTATAACAATTGTACTTTTCTGTGTGACCATTAGTGTTTGGGGCATTTTGTGTCGTAGAACGACATGTCGAAAAAAAGCTTTCATCTCAATCGTGCTAACATCAAGTTCCATCTAAAAAACAACTTACGTGTAGAGAGAGATGTGTTGTTTACATAGACCCAATGACACCGCGCATGTGATATCCCACATCGGTTGAGAAGAAGAATGAAACACCCTTTATTAAGGGTGTGGAAACTTCTCCATACTATACGCGTTTTAAAAAGCTTGAGGGTAAACTTGAAAGGGAAAGCCCAAAGAGAACAATATCTACTAGCGGTAGGCTTGGACCGTTACAAATGGTATCAGACCCAGACAACGGACGATGTACTAGCGAGAAGGCTGTTCCCTGAAGGGGTAGACACGAGGCGGTGTGCCAGTAAGGACGTTGAGCCCCAAAGGGAGGTGAATTTGGTGGAGGCCCCACATCGATTGGAGAAAGGAACGAGTGCTAGCAACAACGCTAAGCCCTGAAGGAGGTGGATTGTGATATCCCAACTGGTTGAGGGGGAGAGCTAAACACCCTCTATAAAAGTGTGGAAACGTCTCCCTACTAGATACGTTTTAAAAACCTTGAGGGTAAACCCGAAAAGAAAAGCCCGCTAGCAGTGGGCTTAGGTCATTACACCGCAAGAGAAGAAGAATAAAGAAGGGTTTCAACTGCTTTCGATTCAGCATCTAAACGATCTTAGCATTTTGATTCGATCATGCTACCTACGTTTCAACTGCTTTCGAGAATGAAAATAATTCCAGAAAACGAGTTTAAATTTTTTCAACCTACTTTGTCTCGGTTCACGTAATTCTCAACGATATAAATAGTGATGTATGTATGAGTTGCCATTAATGGTAACATATCTTAAATTTATGAAGGTGACCTAATAAGTCAGCCATAACCATTTCCTTCACCAACAGAATGGAGAGGGGTTTAAGATATTTGACTGTATATGCAACAAACACTGTGACATTAATATAATATAATGAACGAATTCACATGTATCTACTTCATCATGACCATGACCATTACTACGATGGGATGCGTTCAAACACGGGCCAACTTATCTTTTGTAACGATCTATGTCAAGATTCAGGATGGTTCTAACATTCCCCTATGATATGGTCACGTTACCTACCTTCCCGTTTCTTAAGAGTGAAGACTATCCTTACAGAGCAATATGAGTCATTCCAACATGTCTTGTCAATTGGGATGCGTTCAAACACGGGTATGTCAAGATTCAGGATGACTCTGACATTCCCCTATGACATGGTCAGATTACCCACCTTCTCATTTCTGTAAAGATTATCCTCACAGACCAATAAAGTCATTACAACATGTTTTGTCTTCACTTACATGTTGAGTCGTTCCAACATGTCTTGTTTTTACTCACATGTGTCATAAAATTTCTATAATTGATCGATTGAAGAAAAGAACAGTACACCGGATTGATATAGGTGGGTCCCGTTCATTTATTTACCCTTCTAATTTTTAGGATGGAAATAAATTCCTGCATTGTACATTAAATATTTGTCATATAACCCTCACTTTATCTTCTTAAAATTTGGTCCAATAAACTCTTTTAATATATTTAATTAATTATACGAAAATTCTAATTTTAATTAAAATTTTAAACTACGAATTTTATTAATTTATAACAGAGAAAAAATATATGAAATTTTGAAAAAAATTAGAGATAAAAATACAATTTAAATTAAATAGTGATAGAAAAAAATTATTATTTTTCTATTTCAACGGTCATTGCCTTAGTCTATTAATAAAATGGACCATAGTTACACCGATGTACCCCTATTTTATTATTCTAACTTAGAACAATTGATGGTTCTCGAACGACCCATGCTTGCGCTTTAATTATTTTTTTTAATATCGATGTCGAGGTAATGGCTCAACCGATGGCCATGCTGTTGAGAATAATAGTTCATTCACGTCACGTAAGCGTTAGAATCGACTTTGATTTTATTCCCAAAATGGTACCCATAATGAATCAGCTACAAAAGTCATTCTCACTCGTACAAATCAAAAAACACAAGCTTTTACAGTCAAGAGTTCATAACTCACTTAAAATCAAGATCGAATCACGTATGATGATTCTGTGAAATATTAATGACGATTTGAATTAGATTATTTGTAATAATTACAAAGTGGGATATAGTAATCGTGTTATTCGGTTAAGACACCTAACCTTATTCATATACTATAGACTCTTTAAGTTATTACTTGAACATGATTCTAACGTAGGTTCGGTTCGAGATTACATTAATAATAATAATAAAAAAAATATCGTGAGTCGATACACCATCCAACCACTTTTAGCAGGAAGTAAGGGTTACTTTGTTGGCTCGTCAGTTCATAAATGTTGTGATGAATGTGGTTGGAGACTTTGGGATTATAAACAAATATTTGAGCTAGATATTTGTCACGATTCACAAGTATAAATGCACCATTACGAGCCCTCAACGAGTACAAACCCTAATGGAAGCATCCAAACAAGAGCCAAAGGACATGGTGATCAACACTCCTCCAAGCCTCTTTAGGAGAAAAAAGTGGACCAAGTTGGATAAAAATCTTGCTTTGGTCTTTCTAATTTTGCATCTTCTATGCGTTTTCGCACCGTTTTGTTTTACTTGGGGTCGTTTCTTTCTTACTATACTATTAGCCAATCTAACAGGTATAGGAATTAGTGTTTCGTATCATAGAAATCTCGCACATCGAAGCTTCAAACTCCCTAAATGGCTCGAGTATTCACTTGCTTATTGTGGAGCTCATGCACTCCAGGTTTGATTTGATTGAATCCTTATTACGACTAAAGCTGAATTTCTCTCGAGAATTCTGAATATCTATTATGTTTTTTAATTTCAGGGTGATCCGATTGATTGGGTGAGTACACACAGATGTCATCATCGATATACTGATTCAGAACGAGACCCACATAGTCCTATATACGGATTTTGGTTTAGTCAAATCACGTGGCTTTTTGATTCATATAATTTGACCAAAAAAGTGTGTCCAAACTATAATACTTCTCAAAAGATTGAAAGAAGCAAGTTTATGTCGTTCATGAAGCATGGATATCCAGACAATGTCAATGACTTGTTGAATGAATCCTTCTATAAGTTCATGCATAGAACATATTTTCTTCATCCACTGGCTCTCTTGGTATTGTTGTATTCTATTGGAGGAGCTCCTTTTATAATATGGGGAATGGTAAATTACTCTCTTTTTTACCTCTTTTTGGAACCCTTTTTACCAAATATTGTTCGTTTATGTTTTTTCTTAACTATTCGTAGTCAGTGAGGTTCGTACTAAGCTTGCACATAACATCTATGGTAAACTCGGTATGCCATGTCTGGGGAAAGCAACCATGGAACACGGGAGACATGTCGAGGAACAATTGGTAAGATACTTCTCTCCTTAGAGCTGCTCGTTAAACTACTGAGCATAAATGTTTGTTTCAATAGAGAATGAAGAATGGAGTGTACAGAGATTTCTTCTCGGTTATCTAAACGGGGTTGAGGACGGAATTATCCCCTACTCTCAAATTCCCGACCCACCTCACTAAAAGGGAGTGGAGAGAGATTTCTTCTCGATTATCTAAACGAGGTTGAGGACAGAAATTATCCCCTACTCTCAAATTCTCGACCCATCTCACTAGAAGGGAGTGGAGAGAGATTTTTTCTCGATTATCTAAACGGGGCTGAGGACGAAAATTATCCCCTACTCTCAAATTTTCGACCCACCTCACTAGAAGGGAGTGAAGAGAGATTTTTTCCTGGTTATCTAAACAAGGCTGAGGATGGGAACTATCCCCTACACTCAAATTCCTGACCCACCTCATTAGAAGAGAGTGGAGAGAGATTAACTCTCGGTTATCTAAACAGGACTGAGGACGAGATGTATCCCCTACTCTCAAATTCCCGACCCACCTAACTAGAAGGGAGTGGAGAGAGATTTCTTCTCGGCTATCTAAACGGGACTGAGGACGGGAACTAGCCCCTACTCTCAAATTCCCAACCCATCCCACTAGAAGGGAGTGGAGAGAGATTTCTTCTCAGTTATCTAAACAGGGCCGAGGACGGGAGTTATCCCCTACCCTGAAATTCCCGACCCACCTCACATATTGATTATTTCAAATGTTTTTTTAGGTTGGTGGCTTTATTTACGTTTGGAGAAGGATGGCATAACAATCACCATGCATTTGAGTACTCAGCAAGGCATGGTCATGAATGGTGGCAGATTGATTTGGGTTGGTATATTATTAAGTTTCTTCAAGTCATTGGATTGGCTACTCATGTCAAATTGCCTTCTGAAAACTACAAGCAAAAGTTGCCTGCTCATTAAGATTACAATGATCCTTAAAGATTTGAGAATGTTTATTGAAGATTTAAATATGATTAATGTTTGAAACATCGTGTAATCCAATCATATATTAAAGTATGATCGTTTAATGTATGTACGACCGCATTGTTCTATCTTAAAACGATAATAGTTAATATAGTACGATGTATTGTTTCGTATGTACATGAATAGTTTGAATCTGATCAACTATAAATTCAAAAAATGTAACCTATTTGAGTTAAAATGTGATATCGGAAGTGATGTTTACACGGTGAATTCTTGAATATAATTTTTTCGTAGATTAAAATTTTGTTTACTACTTTTTTATACAGTGGATTGTGAGATCCTACCTTCGTTAGAGAGGGGAACGAAACATTTCTTATAAGGGTGTGGAAATCTCTCTCTAATAGACACGTTTTAAAAATGCGAGGATGACAGCGATACGGAACGGGCTAAAATGGACGATATTTGCTAGCAATGAGATTTGATTGTTACAAATGGTATCAGCATCAGTCACTTGAGGGTGCAAGACACTGGTTGGAGT